CATCCTTTATCCAGTCGCAGATTGTTTGTGCCTCCCGCGGAAATTGATTGAGAACAATACCAGCCACTATATTCGACACCGCGACCCAGCCACGCTTCGTCAGCCGTCTCAAGTCGGGTGGGTGGTTCAGAGGCTGCGCAAGCGGCTGACCTTTGAGTCGAAGATTTAGGGCGTGCAGAGCAAAATCAATGACACTTGAAGGGTTGGTGCCGTTCTCCATGAGAGATTCCAACATCGTAGTACCAAGTAGGTCGTCATCTAAGTGCAGGGAATCCACCTCCTTCAATATAGCCAGTTCGTCGGTATCCTGCTTGACGGCCTCTTTTTCCTCAGTGAAAAAACGTTTAGTTCTTTCAACGAAAGATTGATCATCAAGTCGCGGGGAGAAATGTTTGAGCGCGGAGGTACAGTGGGGTGATGCCATGTTTAAAAAAACTGTCAGACCGCCGCAGATGGACTCGAGACTCGGTGGACGGCCAAAACAGCAGTACCCGGCGATAATCAGACGCCTGAGGCCCCGACGCAAGGGAACCATGATAGTCTTGAGCAGAGTGGTTTTGTAAGGGCAGCGAGGAGAAAAGACGGGGGCGATCGTCGCAAAAATGAAGAATGACGCCCATAGCGCGACCAGCGCCGCGCACATGTCGCTGATCCCATGAAGATCTGACCGTGTATAGAAGCATAGCCCCAGGAAGAACAGGCCGAGTGCGAGCTGTAACAGTAGAGGGAGGATTCCGGCGATCTCATGCACCTTCCAGGTGGAGAGTCCACGATAGCGAAATTGGCGTGCACGAAGCCGCTCATGGGGAGACGCATAGTCGTAGGCCAGAAACTCCCGCAACCACTGTTTGACAAGCATCGATAACGATGCCGTGATGAGGGTAATGAAAAGGCTGGCGAACCATAGATAATTGGTTCGAAGATCTGCACTCGATGGCACGAAGGGCTCGGAAGCCGTGGACCCGGAAGGTGAGAGGAGCGTAGAGTTGATGAGGTCTGCAGTGACAGTGTAGCTGCTCGTCTGGGTCGATATTTGAGACAGCAGTTGAATCACAGTATCCTGCTTGTCGGGGGAAAGGGACTGGAACGAGCCAATAACGAAGCTCGTTAAAACCGCAGAGAATAGACCAGTCTGTTGAACGACATATGATGAATGTAATGAGCAAAACCATGAATCAAGCGGCTACGTACGAAAACGAGAAGCGTATCGATATCCTCCTTATAGTTTTGTATCTTATCCCCGTCGACATCTCTGATCATTTGAGCCATCGCCGCCCATCCAGTCGGTGTTCCAGAGACGACATAGCGAACGTTTCCCTAAAGAAAGATGTAGATCATGAGTACCGTGTTACGACGACAACGACTAACGTACGTCGGAGTTCATTGCGGAGAGGGAGGTTTGGGAAGGGCCCGTCACTTCGACCGGCTGCATATAAACTCGTCCATGACCTTGTGAAGATGCGTAGAAACCTTGTGCTATTGTGAAGCGATGGAATGATGGAGATGTCAGCTGTCAAAGTAGCGTCAAGGTCGTCAAAGCTGTCGGACAAGCTATCAAGAGCGACCACAACAGGGACCAAAAATGGCTGGAACGGACGTACGGGCCGCGTGCGCTCATCACTCTTCCTGCATAGCGCTCTAGACAATCCGACGTTTTCCTCAAGTACTTAGTGCAATGAGATGAGGTGTTACAAGATACGTCGAAGGCATTTTGGATACAGTCTTCGCGCCTGCTTCGATGAAATTATTGTAGCGATGAACGCGAATGAGAATATTGCACTTACATGCAAGGACATACAGACCAACTGGATCGCCTGTCACTCTCAACGGTCGAAATTTCAGGGGGAGAGGGGGGTTTGAAGACGTAAGATGGTCGTGACTATTCTTTGCATTGTTCTCTGTTGAACCAGAGAGCAAAACGAAGACAGGCCTCTGGGAATCGATTCTGTGCGAAGCCCAGCGCATCTTGTCAGCATTTGTATCAGCCAATATACATTTACACATAACGATATAGTTAAATCGTCTGTGTGTACAGCATTGAGTCCCTTCCTGTGATCAAAAATCATGACGCCAGTTGAGGTGCAGGCCGCCGTAGCCGCGGGCGAAGAAATTAAGTACACCCGTTGTTAAGAAGGGAGCAGCTCACATTGGATATGTCAAATCTCAGTTCTCCCTTGACGCAGCGAGATAACGTACTGGCATCGTGAGCTCTCGAAGAATGTACTGAGGACCTGACCAGCTGAGGAAGTTGCACAAGCGTGGGACGTCGATCGGCCACGTGGACGCCACGTGAGTAAACCATAACCGAGCCAGCAGCTTCGAGCTCTGTCGTCCAAAACTGAAGTTCGCTGACGCTCCTTTCCGAATCCCCTGGATGGAAGGAGGGGGCGGGGCGAGCAGAAGCTCTCCAGTCTCACTGCTGTGCGACTGTCATCCTATCGCGAAGAATACGGCGACACTGACAGTCCTTGAACAGGTCGCTCGCTACAGGAATATACAGCATTCACGAGCTTAAAGCCGGCCAAGATGCGCAAAGTACGACAGTGCGAGCTAGCATCGACTAGAGAACAGAATGCAGTATGTTATCGCGCATTTGAGTGTTCGAGCAACGTTCGAGAGCGCACGGCGACGACAGGCGCCAAGGGTAGTATAGAGAAGCAGTAAGCAGGAATTACTAATATCAACCGAAAATTCAGACAAAATAAGAGCACGACACATACATACGAGGCACATAAAACTGCAAAGTTTGAAGAGCAGTTCATACATACTTTTTGACGACAAAAAAGATACAAGTCGAGCCGGGCAGGAGGAAGTCACGTGCCCGAGGCAGTCCCGTCCCTGATAGTAAGACCCGAACCACAGGGGATTCGGAACTAGTAAGACTGTCAAACATCGTCCTTTCGCATTTGCACTGAGCTGACATGCAAGACGATACAACAACCTCCTCGTGAGTCGCAAGCGTTTTACATGGACCAGCAATCGTCGTTTTCTCATGTCAATGCAGCTGCTACCTCTAGCCGAAGTACCAGTAGAGTATAGAAGATCCTCTCCTCTGTTTTATTCCCAGCGCTGCTTTCGCCATTCCACTATTCCTTACGGCACACATTGCGCAAGATGTCGTACCTCAACCAATCAGCCCGTCGGACGTCTCCACCGTCCCATATAGATGGTCAAGGCCAGCAGACCAGCTGATGCGCGGCCCGGTGCAGCCCCTTCTACGTTTCATATAAGACGATAGACCAGACAAGCTCTTCTCGTGGCACCATCACCCTCATCCTTCTTCACGATGTCTGATAACCCATCTTTCGTCCTCCAGGGCATCGAACAAGTGGTATTTGAGGACAGACCGATACCAGAGAGTATGCTAGTCTCTACTGCATCCTAAGCAGATCCTCACTTTGATCACTCGGCATCAGTCGGTGAGCGAGAGGTCCTGGTCGCTGTAAAGAAGACTGGTATTTGCGGCTCCGATGTACATTTCTTGGTTCATGGCCGTATCGCAGACTTCGTCGTCGAGAATCCTATGGTCCTCGGCCATGAATCGTCTGGCGTAGTCCACAAAGGTGAGTCCATAGGTACATTCTTGCCGTCTTAAGTTCGTACTCAGTCTGCCATCTGTAGTCGGCTCCAAGGTTGTAGATCTCAAGCCTGGTGATCGTGTCTCGATGGAGCCCGGTGCTACATGTGGACAATGCGATGATTGCAAGAAAGGTCGCTACAACGTATGTTATCAGGCCTGATCTGCAGATTCCTACTCATTTGGTCCTCAGCTTTGCCCGTACATCGAGTTTGCGGCTACTCCGCCGCATGATGGGACGCTTTGCCGTTATTATCGCATCCCCGCCCATGTCTGCTACAAGCTGCCTGACAGTCTTTCCCTTGAGGACGGTGCTTTAGTGAGTTCGATAGGAGCGCATGTCGTCCACATGCTAACCTACGCTTTGCCTAGATCGAACCCCTCTCCGTTGCGACGCATGCACTGAACACGCTCGGCAAGCTCAAATCAAACGAATCTGTCGCGATATTCGGCGCTGGCCCCATCGGGCTTGTGTGTATGGCTGTCGCCCGCGCACTGGGCGCGAAGCGCATCATCGCTGTTGATATCGTCCCAAGCCGCCTCGAGTTCGCGAAGGCATATGCCGCTACGGATGTGTATTTGCCGCCTGCGATGGAGGCCGGCGAGGACAAGATCAAGTACACGGATCGCAATGCTAAGACGATGCGTGAACAGCTCGGACTCGCAGAACGTGGACCTCGTTCCATCGATTTGGTGATCGAGGCGAGCGGCGCAGAAGCGTCTATCCGTACTGGAATTTCTATCGCGCGCATGGGTGGAAGATTCGTGCAGGTACGTGGTTATCTGGGGCTTTGCATCTGGACTTCATGCACATTTATGACTCTGATTACACTACTCAGGTCGGCATGGGTAACCCTGAAGTCACGATCCCCATAACCATGCTCCTCGTCAAGGAGCTCCAGGTCATCGGCTCCCTACGTTACGGCGTACGTGCCCTTGCTCTTCTCCTGCCAGAGTTACTAACGTTGCGCAGGCTGGTGACTACGAACTTGCTATTGCTCTCGTGACTGCGGGAAAAATCGACCTCAAGCCGCTTGTCACTCATCGGTTCTCCTTCGAGCAGGCGAAGGAGGCGTTTGCCGCCAATCGCGCAGGCAAAGGTCCTGATGGGAAGCCCGTCATCAAATCCATCATCTCAGGGCCTGGTGTTTCGCCAGACGAACACTAAGGGGAACTCGCGGTACACAAGAACGTCTGCATAAAATTGGGACTGTGTGATAACGGGGGTTGATTATGCTGAAGAATATCTTTGCGGAAAAGTGGTAGCGTGCTTGGGTTGGGCGTATCCTTCCTCGATGAGTATAGGTTCCAGTAAGCATGTACGGCCCAGAGTAAGGGGATCTTTGAATGCAAGCGAGTCTGCACGTAAGATAGTGTCTAGGAGTATAGCAATTATGTACGATAACAAAATTGTATCAATAACGCCGTCGTAGCCCAATGGTAGGGCGTCGCTTTCCTAAGGCGAAGGTTGCGAGTTCGAGCCTCGTCGTCGGTATTGGATGCAATCTTTTTTATTTCAATTACTTATGCTGTTCACGTCATTTAGGCAAGCCGTAAACGTATTTCACCGTTTATAAATAGTAAAACGAATGAGCGATCGGAATCGGTCGCAGCTTGATTGCTATCACACATTTTTTTGCCTTCGTCAGACGCAGCATCCCACATTCGAAATTCGAATCGAAGCTATAGAAGACGGGCTGCAAGGAGCTGTACACGAGCGTCGAGCAGTATCGGCTGTGTTGAGTATCTGAAACCGTAAAGAGAAGAAACATGGCTGCGGTTCCTAGCGAGAGCTAATTTAGCCGTACAGCGACCTCCGTGCACCCTCTCTTACTATGTAATGCCGTATACAGATAATGAGACGGACCTGCTCAACGACAATCCTTAAGTGCATGAAGCCGAACAGCAGATCGAAAAACATGTAGATTAATTATATTCGTCGTAGACAAACACACAACATGATATCTACCGGCAGACCAGCAAGCATGATAGAGCCACTTCCTGCAGCCAAAGTCCCGACTCGCGGGCAGGCACTAGCTGAGCAGCCTGTGTACAGATACAGGAGACGAGGAGACACGTCTAGCGCATCTCGGGGCTGAGAACTTCGTATGGCATGAGACGATTCTATGAGTCAATCATAAACGTATCAACATGAAATCAATGGGTAAAGCATCGAGAGATGAATGCGATGAGACGAGATATGTGGTGAGTAAGGACTGAATGTGAATGAGTTGGTGAGGTGGTGGGTCTGTTGGGTATGTCGTCGTCAATGGGTCGATATGGCTGTATAGGTGGTTATGTGGGGTTTGGGGTTTAGAGCTTCTCGGTGATAGCAACCGTGAAGTCACGGAAGTACGTGCTCTGGGTCTTCGGGGAGGCGTAGTTGGACGTAGATCCTGCAAACGGGTTGCGATCAGTATACGATGAGAGTCGATAACTAATTTACTTACCACCAAAGAATGTCTGGACCTGGAGGCCGCGAATCCTGCCTTCGTCGCTGTTGCGGAGTACAAGCCCACCGACGTTGATAACGCTCTGGCCGTTAGCAAAGAGCTCGAGCTCGCCGTTCTCCTGGCCGACGTCGTTCAGACGAGCGCGCATCGAGACCGCGTTCGACGTGCCAGCCTTGAAGGTGAAAGCACCACGGCCGACGGAAGCGCCGTAAGTAGGGTTGCAGAGCGACTTGGGAGCGACATCGCAAACGTTGTCGTTTGCGTCGTAGGAGGGTGGGAGGTAAGTGTACATCTCACCAGCGCCGTCCTCGCGCCACATAAGGCGCGAGGAGAAGCACTCGTCGCTGCGGCGTCCGCCAGAGCAGCTGATTGCAACATCGTCGCTGTTTCCGCCATCTACGAACGCGTCAGCGCAAGGTAACCTGCAGTACAAGCCATATGACTTACAAACACCGGGCATCTTGCCACCGAGGTTCCACTCGAAGCCCTCTTCGAAGTACACGGTGTACCCGAAGGTGACCTCCTTGGCAGTGGTGAGATCGACATCCTCAGGACCGTAAGCGTAGAATGACAGACCGCCAAGCGGCTCCTGCTCGAAGTTCCACGAGCCCTCGGGATAGGTGGCCTTCATCGAAAGCTGCCCGTCAGGTGCATTGACGTAGGGATGAGGCAGCTCAGTCATGAGGTGAGTCATGTTGAACGTGGAGTCGCTGAGAGGGAGCACTGCGGGAGCATCGGGGGCAGTGGACCAGGACTTCTTAGGAGTGATCGGCACAAGCGCAGCGAAGACGTTGTTGATGGACGGGGAACTCGAGCTTGTCTTTGTGGACGCGGCCGCAGAGGAAGAGTGAGTCGAGGAGTGGGTCGAGGACTCATGTGTTGAAGTGCTCGTAGCTACATGAGTGCTTGTGGCAGCATGGGATGTCGCCGCCGCGGTGTGCGTGCTCGTCGCCGCCGTGGACTCGACAGCGAGCGTGTTCGCAGAAGCGGTCGCGATGGAGCTAGACGATTCGACGAGCGATGAGGACTCGGTGCGAGGCTTACAGGTACGTGCGCGCAGGGGTGCCGCACGCGCACGGACGTGTCTCCGCTGCACACCCAGTGGCATCGGGTGTGCCACAACCGAGGAAACGACGCATACGAAGAGCAGAGCAATGAATGACCTCAAAGCGAGCATGGTGATCAGCTATCGGTAGAGAAGGAGAGGAGGGGGTAAAGAATGACTAGTGCACGATTGGCACTACGACGACCACAGAACCACGGACGACGTGAATGAGAGGGGAAGATAGGCGTAGATGAGAGGATGGAAGAGAAAATAAGAAGCACTCCCTTCATTTTTATTGTTACCAACGCATGTACCGCCCTGGAATTTACCGAGCCAAGAGGTGATGGCGGTATTGTCAAAACATTTTACCTGCCGGCATCTGCTTGTCAAAAGCTCTGACGCAGAGTACGCGATGCCTGTTGCTCACCATTATTACTTATGAGACTCGATAGACAGTGCGCCACGCTCCCTTTCAACGTGAACGCTGCGATTCTGAGTTGTAACTTGGATGGAAGAGGAGGGATCTGCAGATCTGCCATTAATCAGAGTTCACGATCCTCCCGAGGGCGGATCACTGCGATCAGATGGCGGGGCGCGGAAGCATGAGCGCTGACATTCTCTCGGAGTCGCACATCCACCAAGGACCCCCGAAAGCGCCGGTAGAGGCCGTTCGAGAAAAGTTGGATTTTGGCCCGAAAGTGCGCACCCGATTTTGGCCCAGATTGCGCGGATTCTCACCGAGTTCCGCGCTGCGCGGCGATTTTGCGCGGATTTTTCGAACACCCTTTGCCCAATATGGTGCTGAATTTCGCCCTAATTTTTTATTTTGTCCGCCCCAACGGCCATCGACGCCCATTTTTCACCACAAATACGCGTCCGCAGTGGTACAGTTGCTGGTCAGCGACGTCGGCATCACTCCTTCAGAGTTCGTATCTGGGGCTCCCGTAGGCGTGCGCGGACCCTCAACGGCCTCCGAGTCTTCGCGCACTTCGTGCGCGGACTCTGCATACATCCTGCGTGACGTCCGGGCCTGAAATGTGCGCGGATGCCGAACGCTAGAGGTCCTCGACGAGGCCGTCGGTGCGCGGACTATGAACGCCTACTATGGGCGCTTTCGGGGGTCCTATCCACCATGTCACGGTCAGTGGTCACAGATGTTGTGGGCAGAGTTAGATAAGTACCGGCACGCCTTTCGTTCAAACAGAATAGATACATAGATACGTATACATGGTGTTACAGAGTACGTGACGACGCGTCTACAAAGCATGAAAATACATAGAATACAGCACGTAGAACTTCGTGATCGTCGTGGAATATCATAAATCCTGTACGTTAGTATGTTCTCAAGTCTTGTCGCAGACGAGATCCTGAGACATTCTATGGTAGTCACTATGAACCGGTCATAGTGACTCAGTAATTGCTACAGAGAAATCCGAGAAGTAGACGTCCTGATCAACAGGTGTCGCCCACGACGAATCAGATCCTAGACAGATAGATGATCAGTATATTGTCATACAAACTGCTATAGGTATAACTTACCTCCGAAGAAGGTCTGCATCTGGAGTCCCCTGATCCTCCCGGTGGTGCTGTTGGTCAAAACAAGGCCACCGACGTTGACGACGCTCTGCCCGCCAACAAACAGCTCCAGTTCACCATTTGCCTGCCCGACGTCATTAAGCCGGACACGCTGGCTCATTGTTGTGCGCCCTCCGGCTGTCCAGTTGAAGGATCCACGACCGACGGAAGCACCGTACACGTCATTGCAGGTCGAAAACGGCGAAATGTTACACACCGCCTGGTTCGCGTCGAAGTCTGGCGGCAGGTACGTGTATAGCTCGCCGAGGCCGTTGGTACGCCACATGAGACGCGAAGACCAACAGCCATCATCGCGGCGTCCACCTGAGCATGAAACGGCTTCGTCATCGCTGTCTCCGCCATCTACGTGAATCACAGCATGTTAGTTATCTGCAAGAGAGTGAGACAGTTGTGTACTTACAAAGGCCTGGGAGCTTGCCACCTTTGACAAACTGGAAGCCGTCCGGGAAATACACCGAGTAGCCGAACGTGGCCTCTTTGGCCGTCGTCAGGTTCACGTCCGAGGGCCCGGGCGCGTAGAATGAGAACCCGCCCCTTGGCTCATGACCGAAATTGTAGGAGCCCGCAGGGTAGTGCGCTTGCATCGACAACACTCCATCCGGCGCGGTCGTGGTGTTATGCGATAGCCCCTTGATGTTCTTGAATGTCTGGAAAGTGGCATCGGAGATTGGGAGCGCGCCAGCGAGGGAGGACGACGTTGTCCATGAGCTTAGGTGGGGAGTGACGGGAAAGAGGATACTGGATATGTCTGATGATCCTGTGGTGTTTGTTGAAGGACCCGATGGGACGGCGGAGGGGGCGGAAGAAGTGGTGGCGGTGGCGCTGGAGGATACGACAGTGCTCGTAGCATCGACTATAGCGGAGCTGGTGTTGGTGGCGGCGAGGGAGTCAGAGAATGATATGGAAGAAGAGAAGACTGATGCAGAGGGTATAGTAGTGGCAATGGTCGTAGTGGTCGTTAGAGTTGCAGTGGACCGTACACTGCAGAGCGGTCGAGAATCAGCGATAGCAGGGAGTAGTGAGAATGCAAGGATGAGCGAGTTAATGAGAGACATAGCGATGCTAAGAAGGAGACACAAGCACGACCAGCGGGAACAGTGTCGATGAAAGCAATGGATCCGGAAAGTGAGGCGAGATAGCGAGCGAGGGCGACCTTTATACCACAGGGTCTAAGCATCGTGGCCAGGAGCGGAGTCCAAAGACAGGAGGCGTATCTTGCATTGTGTTGTCCTTTCGGCAAAGAAGGGGGACAAGACAGTATCACAAACGACGGACAGAGAAGGATTTGCCTCGCGCTAAGATGGTCGTCCCTGATCTTGATAACGCTGGTGCCACAGCCATAAAGAATGACACTGTCGACAGAGTGTAGATTATCCCCAAGCAAAGCGTAGAGAGTAGAAG